ATCCCTAATATATTAGAATACAATCTCTGTTCTATGCTCACCGAGAGTATCGTTTTCATTAGCTTATTAAAAACTTACTGTGCTTGGGAGAAGGATGGACAATCTTCCATGTGACTAACTGCCTCTGAGAACCCACAGGAGAGTCGGCTACAGATCAGTTCCGACTCTGCGGTACACAGCAACAACAGTGCTCAGCACTAGCTAAAGACTGTTGTTGTTGCTGTTATTAGGTGCCGTCGAACTAACTATGACTCAGAGCAACTTCATAAACAATAGATCTTTGTAATTTTTTTTTATTTTGCCAAAATAAAAGAGCTGAACAGAAGATTTTAAAGGGCCGCTCAAACGGACAAAGAAAAATATTAAAATGGAATGTGCAGAGAGCTGCAATTGGAGAGAAAAAATGGGAAGAACTCATTCAGCATTTCTCAAGCTGAGAGAATGGAAAACTAAATTTAAACTTTGAATTGTAATATTAAAAGATGATATGGACAATATATTAAATGATGTAGGAACCATCAAAAGAAGATGGAAGAAATACACAGAATTACTGTACCAGAAAGAACTGATTAACACTGAAAAACTTCAGAAAGTACCATACAAACAGGAGCCAATAATAATAAAGGAGGAAGTGTGTTGAAAGCTTTGGCAAAAAAATAAGGCCTCAGGAATCGATGAGTTACCAGTTGACTTTTTTCAATGAACATATGCAGCCTTGGATGAGCTCCTCAGCCTATGCCAAAAAATTTGGAGGACAGCTGTCTGGTCAATGGATTTGAATAGTTCTATATTTGTTCCTGTTACCAAGAAAGATGATCCAGCTGAATGTAAAAACTATTGAACAATATCATTAATACCACATGCAAGCAAATAACGGCTGAAGAACATTCAAAAACAGCTAAAACAGTACATGGATAGGGAATTGACAGAAGGTCAAGTGGGATTTAGAAGAGGCCGTGGCACCACGATATCATTGCTGATGTCAGATGGATCCTGGCTTAAAGTAAAGAATACCAGAACAATGTCTATTTGTGCTTTATTGACTATGCAAAGGCATTTGAATGTGTGGATCATAACAAGTAGTGGCTGACATTGAGAAGAATAGGAATCTCAGAGCACTTTACTGTGCTCCTATGGAACCTATATGTGGACCAAGGAGACTTGGTGTGTGAACAGAGCAGGGGAATGCTGCATGGTTTAAAATAAAGAAGTGAGTGTGTCAGAGTTGTATTCTCTCTCTATACCTACTTAATCTGCATTCTGAGGAAATTATTCGAGAAAGTGGACTCTCTGAAGAAGAATGTGGTGGACTCATCAAGAATATGTGTTATACAGATGACACAACCTTGCTTGTGAGAAGGACTTGAAGCATTTGTTGCAGAAGATAAAGGAATGCAACCTTTGGTATACAGTATATCTCAATTTCAAGAAAACAAAAATTCTGACCAATAGACAATATCATGATGGATAGAGAAGAGATTGAAACTGTTAACAAATTCGTCTTACTTAGATCCACAATTAAATCTTGGTATCAGCAGTCAGGAAATGAGATGCATTGCACTAGGAAAATCTGCAGTTAAGGACCTCTCCAAACTTTTGAGCAATAATGATATTAGTTTAAGGATTAAGGTGTGGTCAGGCTATGATCTTTCTGATCACTTGCTGTGCATCTGAGAGCTGGACAACGTATGACAGAAGAATAATTGATGGCTTTGAGTTATGATGTTGGAGAAAAACACTGAACATCCCATGGACTGCCACAAGAACAAACAAATATGTATTGGAGAGGGTGAAGCCGGACTTGTCTTTGGAGGCGAGAATGATGAGGCTTCACCTCACATATTTTTGCTAGGAGAGGCTATTCCTTGGAGAAAGACATGATGTTGGGAAGGGTGGAGGGTCTGTAAAGGAAAGGAAAACACTTGACCAGGTGGAGTGACACGGTGACTGCTGCAGTGGGCTCTAGGGTGTCAGGAAATATGAAGATGACACAGGATAGGACAGGGTTCAGATTTGTTATAACAGGGTTGCTATGAGTCACACAACAAGATCAGATGACAGCTTCTTGGTCTATGTTTCACATAAGTACAATTAAGTGACACTCAAATGAAGATAAGGACTAATGTATAGGTGAAATACATAGGACAATACTGGACAATTGCGGATCATTGGCTTGTCAGGACTCAGGTGAGTTAGCCTCAACTTTATGCACTAAAATCCAGGTTTATTAGTGTCTTGGTACAGCTCCTCTAGCCAGAAATATCAAGAAAGTTCTCAGTTCCATGTCCATCTTCTCTCTGCGCCTTATTTCCAAAGTTCAGCTGTCACATCTCTAAAGAATATTTCATATGACTCCCATTGTGTCAGGACAACATCCTAACTTTTTTCCCCCTCCTAACTTCTTAATATACTCATAAACCCTTCAAACTCATTTCAACCCACCTTTTACTTTTATTTTCGATAATGTTCTTTATATTATACGACATAGTTACTAACCTCACAAGTTTTGAAATGAAATGCTTTTTCTCTCACTTGCTGTTAAAAACACCTTTTATAACCAACCCCAGCATTTTCAGGAAAGATTATTTGTTTTCTTTCCAGAGCTGTCATGGCTGTGCTCACACATTTTACTTTAGCACTTATTAGACACCATTGTAATGATTTATTTGCAACCTGGGGGAAAACAACTTTTTTCCCTTAATATAAATTTACAGTAAAACTTATATTCTACTGGTTTAATAATCTATTCCCATACTTTGGAGACAAACTCAAGTGCTTCACAAACTTGGGCACAACTACAAGAAGCCCTGCAAGAGATAGCATAAGTTAAGATGGACCTATTTTGTTCAAGAATAGTTAATTAAATCACCAAACAAAGGTCATAAATATTGTTTGTAGAAAAGAAACTATCAGAAAGGGAAATGCTCAAAACGACAACATGGTTGGGAATGCCAGTGAAGGAGAGGAAGACTCTCAGGAAGGCACAGTGACTGTAACAATGGGCTCAAGAATATCAGAGGTGGTGGGGATGCCATGGGATAGGGCAAGCTTTGCATCTTTTGTTTGTAAGGGCAGTTGCAGTGTGGGGGTGTCTGAGTCTGACTTCTCTGTGCTTCACAAAGGGAACTTACCCCATCAGTAATAGCCAGAGCACCATACAAAACGCTACCTGGTCAGACATGCCATCCCCCATGCTCCTGCACCTATTTCTATCAATCGTCGGATCCAATGTAGATTGCAAATTTGACTCACAGATTTTACTCACAGTTGTGGGATTTATTAAGGAAATAGGTTGGGGAGTGAAAGAGGCAAAGAATATCATACAATGAAAGTAGAGGTTTAATGATAAGTCTCAGGCCAAATTAACAACAAGACACAATTCCTCAATTAGTAAAAGTCTAGGTTCAGTTCAGCAGCACAAATACACCTCAGATTTCCTCAATTATCCAGCAAACTTTATTTAAAAGCACTTACAAGTCAGCTTTTCCTTCGTCACCCAGCAAGCAAAACTTTTAGCTCCATCACCAAGTTTCTTCCAGTACACCTAGACAGACTGTAGACAGCAGTGCCACAGTCTCTTCACTCTCTCCACCACCACTTTTCACAGTATGGAAAGTACTCTCTTATATTGATTCTACAGCTATTGATGATTTGCAAGACTATGTGTCTATGATTAAGGTAGCTGGAGATCATGACCCTCAACGGGACCTAATACAAAGGATGTTGTTGTTGTTAAGTGCCATCTAGTTGTAGGCAACTAATAGCGACCCTATTAACGAAAGTCCTGGACACCTGTACAACTTTCGTCCTTTCTCCAGGTTTTAAGGTTTTCAGAGGCAAGCTATTATGGAAGTGGATGGCACTCCTGCAAAGCCACAATGGATAGAAAACCCAATTTTCAAGGTTTTTGACACAACAGTCACTATGAGTCTTGCTTGACTCAATGACACCTAACATCAGCAACCATCACCACAAAGAATACACCATTGATACCATTTTGCTCACCTTTCTCCTTTTGGCAGTTAATGTTCCTAATTGTTGTTGTTCACACTTTTCATAACTTTGATGAATGTAAATAATTTTCGTGTAGTAATTTACTCTCCTCACGTATTCACAGAAGCTCAGTAAAGTCCATCGTAAACCATACAGCAAACTTGCAGCAATGAGTTGAAATTCCATTCTTAAGAGCTCTATATCATCTTTATAGATGAATGTGACCTCAATCCCAGGCAATGAGAGCTAGCTGATGGCCATCTATCCTTTCCCAGAAAAGGGTGCTCTAATAACATTCAATTCCTTTACTTAGTCTTCTATGCACCAGACAGTCACTGAGTATTTGCTGAGAACCACATGAAAGGTAGACTTTCCCCTCCTGGAGCACACAGTCCATTTTATTGTTAAAGTTCTGTAATTTGAACCAAATGTACAACATGAGTGAGCTAAGGGGAACAATTGAAAAGTTCTGAATGACTAAATAAATTGCATACCAACAGCTATATGGATGTGTATGTGTGTGGGGGGTGTGTGTGCTCCCACAAGCATGCACATTTATGTGTAGGTAGATGGACAGGCTGGTGGCAGGTACATGAGCAAGAGATCGAGGTCCTCACAGAAGGAACCAAAGTGCCAATATAGTTGGAATACTTTAGGATTTGCTTGGGAAACAATGGCAAGCAGCTCCATGGGACTTCCAGGAGAGAACTAAGGATCAATGGGGCAGGAATAGGCAGAGGAGAAGATTATTGGGAAGGGAGGCAGGTACAGATTGTAGAGGATGTATGAATGAGCTCCAACATATTTTATAAGAAGTGGGTCATCAGATATCTAAGCAGGAGAGTGAAAGGATCAGACTGGTTTTGGTCTAAAAATTTGATGTCAATATGGAGGATGGATTTGAGAAGATCAGTATTAAATGAATGTCCTTTAGACACAACCATGACTAATGGAAACCCCGTGACTATTTCTATCTAACTCTGCCTTATACCCATGTGTTTTCCTAGTGACGGTGCTGGCCATTTTCCATGAACTTCATGTTGACCCTGACCTGTACACCCTCTTATTTGGTGAGAGTGTGTTGAATGATGCTGTGGCCATAGTCCTCACATAGTAAGTACCAGTACTTTGCTTATTTTCTTGTAGCATATGAATATGCCTCTGCTTGGAGATAATTCCTGATGGTTTTAATAAATATCTTTTCTCTTGTGTCATAGAGACAAAGACAATTGTTAGCTTTTAAGGGATTGTTATCACACAAACACACAAAATTTAATAATGGGCACAATTTGTCAGACATTCAATTTGTAATACTGTTAACAGGTTTCATTTTTCTAGCTTATTATAAAATGGTACACAGAGAATAACAGGGTTGGGCTTTTTTTTCAGTGCATATATGTAGCTAATTCACTCTGGGGTCCTAAAATAAGCTCTCCCCCCCCCTTTTTCCGATCAGTATAATTTCATTTCTGCTCTTATCCAAGTAATTTTCCCAACAATTGACTAATAGAAAACTGTGTACTTATGGTAAGTGCATCAAACTGGAGCTAGAACATGAGGATAAGAATACCTTTTCTATCTCAATGCAAATGTCATGTTTTCTATGTACAAAAACATTGCAAATCATCATGAGGTGAGTGAAACTGATGGAGCTTCAGCTGAGAGCAAATGCAATTTATCCTTCATCCTGGAAGAATTTTCTTTCTGAGACGAGAACTTGTACTCTTCCCTGTCTCCCCCCATGGACACTTACCATTTATATTTAATACATGCCATTTTGGTGGCTTTCACTAGGTCAGATGTCTTGTCTCCATTTTAGATTAAGACCGATATTTTTGGCAACTGTCAAATATCCGAAAGGAAAGTAGCTCTCTGATAATTAATCATGACAACAGGATTCTGTTCAGGGTGTTAATTGCTTCAAAAGCATTTGAAAATGTATTGTGAAATAACAAAGGGATTTTAAAAGTCAGATCTCTCACAGGGGAGTAGGAAAGGACAGAGCAGCACTATTTTTTTTTTTATTTCTGCCAGTTGACATTTCTTAAGTCGCCTCCCCAAAGTTAAAACTGAATTCAGCAACTTTCAAATGATTGTCTGCAAATAAACTCGTACACCACCCGGCCATTATAGAATCACCTTTCCTATGCGAAAGGGAAAGGAAAATACCAGCAAGAGCAAACGCAGAGCAAAAGCCACAGCGTGTTCACAAATGCTAACGGGTGCTTTTAAAGAAACACAAAGAACCATTAATTAGGACATCAGGAATCCCTGTACAAGAATCCTGGTATTAAAGGAACACTGGGAGAATAAATTTTAAAACACACAAACCAACTAACTCTGCTAAGCCCATTTTCACTTCCTGAGCTGACAAGGAGTAAAAGGCCAAGCAAAAACCTCTCAAGTGCAAATGAGCTTAGGAAAGAATCAAGCAGCTTTGACCAGGGGAAGGCTTGGTTTTTCTGCTTTTCAGCTGTACTAGTCACAGTAGTTTTCCATTAAAAAGTCAGGCATTGAGGGTGGATATTGATGCTGTTAGCACAAGCCTCGGGGCGGGGCATTTGTAGCAGTCTATTTAGATGCCTTGAAATTGTGGTGTTGGAGAAGAGTATTGAATGCCAAGGGGTTGCAAAAAAGAACAAACAGATATGTTTGGGGTAGAGTTTGGCCTTGGAGCCAAGGATGATCTCACAGACTTTGGGCATGTCTTTAGGGGGGCGCCATGAAAAAGAATGTCATGCTTGGAAAGATGGAGGGACAACCAAAGAGAGGAAGATCCTTGAGGAGATACACTGGCATCATGACTGCAGCAATGGGTCAAGTACATAAGAGATGGAGATGGTGCAGGATTGGACAGCATTTAGATCTGTTGTTCATAGGGTTGCTAGAAGTTGTCCTCAACTTGAAGGCATCTAATAACAACATGTCAATATGTGGCATTCTGTCCATGCCAGTAATGTCTCTCTTTGTCCAGCGGCACTGTCTGTGGCACAGTCTTGTTCTTTGTAAGTATGAGGCATTTGTCATTTCAGGTGAAATCTTTTGCTCCCAGCTTTGATAATTTAGATGCTGAGTAAGAAAAATTAAACCAAACCCACTCTGGTTCATGGTGAGCCAGTATATGTTAGATTTGCAATCTGTGGGTTTTCAATGGCTATGGAGGTCCTTGTTGTGGGGTTTTGGGGCAGTTTTTATGCTCTGAGTTTTGTTGGATTTTTTGATTTGTTTTTTTCAGAAGATACTTTTCTTTCTAGGTACATCTGAATGGACTTGAACCTCCAAGCTTTTGGTTCATAGCCAGCTTGTTAACCATTTGTTCCACCCATGGATTGTATAGAGGAAGCTTATATTAGTTTCCTATCACTAATCCAACAAACTACCTCAAAGAACATGGTCTTAAACCACAGAAATACACACTCTCACTGTTTTGTGGGCTAGTAGTTCAAGTTCAAGATATAAGCAGGATCGTTCTATCGCTCAAAGCTCTTGGGAAGACCTCTTGTCACTCAGCTTCTAGTAGAACTATTTTACCTCTCTGGCTGTTGCTTTGTGTCTTTTCTCTTTCATCATGATTTCACTTACATATGATTGAGATTCCACTCTGTTCCAGTATGACCTCATGCTAAGTTAACTGATAATATTTTTTGAAGACTTTATATACAAATAAGGATGTTTTGGTGGCCTAGTGACAAGAAGCTGTACTGCAGTCCCCAAAACACAGTTTGAATCCACCACCTGCTTTGTGGGAGAAGGATGCACTGTCTCCTCCTGTGCAACTGACTGCCTCTCTAAATCACTGGGGTGTCAGTTAAGGGTCAATTCCAAACTTGACGGTACACAATAACAACAACAATATTTAAAAATATAAGCACTTTACTCAGGACTTACTGGCAAGGAGTTGCACTGCCAACCCAAAGACATATGGTTTGAATCCACCAGCAGCTCTGGGGGGGGGGGCAGGGGAGTATAAGTATTCTCCCCTCTTAGGATTTACTGCCTCTAAAAACTCACTATGGGTCATTTCCAACTCAACCATACACAACAACAACATATGCAAATAAGGTCGTATTTACAGGCATTAGGGTTAAAACCCTAGCCCTGCAGAGGGTAAAACCTATTTGTTCTTTGAAAGCAAGGACTTTGAAGCTCTGTCTCGCATACTTTGAGCATATTGCCAAGAGGTGCCAGTCCTTGGAGAAGGACTTAGAAGGGTGTAGAGCGACAGGACAGGAGAGGGAAACCGTGGATGAGATGGATTGACGCAAGGACTGTGGCAGTGGGGTCAGGCGTGTTAGAGAAGGTGAGGCTGACTCAGTAGGCAGGGTTCAGACCTTACTGTGCATAGGGCCCCAGTGAGTCAGAGTCGATTGGTGGAAAGCACACAGCAAGAAGAAGTTTGAAACTTTATTGTATTTTTTTAGGATACCATTAAATCCTAACACAGCCCAGTGAGTTCCAATCTCTAAAACAAAGTTACTCCTGAGTTAGTAACAGTTGATGAGGAAACGTCTCACTTTGCAACCCGAAGGTACCTGCTATGATTTGAAGATGTCCTGAGTAGGGGGAGCACCATCGATCCTGTCTATTTCTTTCCACTTTCTCTCCTTGCTGAATTCATGCACTGTACTCTTGGTTCTCCCACTAATTTATGATCTTCTTAACCTGAATTGATAACGTATATGGCAATTTTAGGGAGCTCTAGTGACTTGGTGGTAAAAAAATTACACTGCCAACCCAGAGGTGAATAGCTCAAGCCCACCACCATCACCATGGGAGAAAGATGAGCAGACTCTTTCCATGCAAATTACAGCCTCTGAAAACTCCCGGAGGTTCAGCTGAGTCTGTCCAACAAGCAGGCACATGACAGCAAAAATAACATGACAGTTTTCTTTTTCTACTTATACACATATATTACTTCTCTTTATCATGCCCCTTCTTACACTTTTCCCCCAAAAAAGTTTTCTAAACTCATTAAAAGGTTTTACTCAAAAGTTGTTTAAAACTTTCCCCATGACTTTGAGATTAAAATATTCAAATATTTGTGTCTACACTTTCTTCCTACTAAACCTTTAATATTTAACATGTTGCCATACACTTTTAAATTGATGACCATGCTTAGAAACACTTCTTTTTAATTGTTTGTGACTGCCATATGAAATTGAGCGTCAGTCATAGGTTTGGAATTGAAAATTAATTAAAATATGCAGGACAGCTAGCCGTCATTTGGAGCAATGTGTTAAAGACTAAGGTGCAGTTGGTGCAAACCATGTTCTTATGTATTATTGCTTCATATGTATGTGAAAGTTGGATAGTGAGTAAAGAAGAATGAAGAATTGATCCTGTGAACTGTGATGCTGGCGAAGAGTATTGAATATCTTACGGACTGCTAAAAGAACTGATGCCTTCAAGGAAGTGCAGCCAGGTTGCTCCTGAGGGTCAAATATGGAGAAACTTCATCTCATATAAATAATCTGGGCACATTGTCAGGAGGCACTGATTCTTGGGGAAAACAGAGGTTCAGGGAAAGAGAAGAGGACGATTAATGAGATGAACTGACAGTACCTGTAACATCGGGCGTGAGCGTGGTGGAGATAGTGAGAATGACACCAGCTAAGGTGAGGTTCGGACCTATCGTTCATAAAATTGCTATGAGTCATGGTTGACTTGACAGCACCTATTAATGACAACCCCCTGACCAAAGAGTCTGGGTGGTACCTCCACGTTTAAATGCACACAAACTTTAGGCAAGCTTCGAGACAAGCTCTACTTGATTGCCTGCCTCAGTTTCTTTTTCTGTCAAGTCATGTCTTCCAAGTACCACCTCAGTGTCCTCCTCCAGGACCTACTTATTCGCACGAGTCCCTACTTCACTCCTGAATGGACCTTCATCAATTCCGTAGAGCACAGCATTGCAAACTTGGGCCTAAAGATGTATTTGCCTTTCTGATGGAAACTTCTGAAATCAGAGTCTATGTACTTATTGAAAAAAGAACAAGTAAAAGTCTCTTCTGTGTATTTGCTCTCTTAGTTTGCCCTTTCTATAGTTTGAAGTCTAAGAGGAATCATAAGCTATTTTCTATCTAGTTTATGACTGTTCTTAGACTTCAAGCAGC